GACGCATTGATTTGATACTTAACGCACTGCTTAGCTTAGGTTTCAAAGGCTGCCAGCAAACGCTTGGGCGCACTAAGGGTCTCAGTTTTTCGAGAAGGGGATTCACTGAGTAACTGTACTGGCTGTCCCGGAACTTGCTTTGTAGACCAGGCTGGCCTCGAACTCACAAAGATCCACCTGCTTCTGCCTCCCAAGTGCTGGGATTAAAGGCGTGCACCACCACTGCCCGACTCAGTATACTTTTTTGTTTGTTTGTTAGTTTGTTTAAAAAGTTAAAGACAGTGCTGCTGCTTCTTCATAGAATCTCTCTTTAGCCAAAATGTAAGGGTTAAAATGGTTGCCAGTGTGCTCAGCTGGCAGAGAGCAGGGTCCATGATTTATGACAGCAGACAGATGACATAGGGTCCAATATACACACTCGGGATGAGCAGAGGAAGCTGGGAGCTGCCACACACCTAGGTGTCCAGAGTCAAGAACATGGCTGCCCTTGAGGGCCTGTTGTCCTCACCAGGGACTCTTCATCAAACAAACCTTCTAACCTTAAGTCCTCATAAGACATTTTTTCCCATTAGATTTTTTTGTCTTTTTACCTTACCCACATTGTATGTCCTTAGGTTCCTCTCACAGGCCCAGTGTGCCTTTAGTTAAATAAACAGACCATTAGTGGAGAAACTATGTCAAAATAGGTACAATTAGCAGATTATTAATGCATCTTATTGCTTAAGAATTTGGCCTTGACATAGATGTGCGCTCCCTCCCCGTGTGTGTGTGTGTGTGTGTGTGTGTGTGTGTGTGTGTGTGTGTGTATGGATGGGTAGGTGGGGTCTCTCTCTGTCTCTCTCTGTCTCTGTCTCTGTCTCTCTGTGTGTGTGTAGGTAGGGTCTCTCTCTCTCTCTCTCTCTCTCTCTCTCTGTGTGTGTGTGTGTGTGTGTGTGTGTGTGTGTGTGTGTGTGTGTATAGGTGTGGCAAATTGAAAATATCCTAGCCCAGGGAAGGCCCCCTGCTCCTGACTCATGCATGGAGTTAGAGGCTGTTTCTGGATCTTCCAGGATACTGGAGAAATTTGGATTCATTATCCATTTTAGACTCCATTTTTGGTGTGGAGGGAAGATGATATTGCCTGGTTAATAGTGGAGATGGTCTTTCTCCTAGGCTGGAGAGAGGGGAAAACAGGCACGTTTGTTGAGGGTCTCTTGAGAGCTAATGTGCAGGGCTCCTGGAAATTTCAGTGCTCTGAGACCCTAAACAAATGGGGAAGATGAGGGAATGCCTCCCTCCCTGTGGGGAGGACCCGTCCACTTCACTGCCCTCTCGGTCACTGCTCATCCATTCACAGGAGCTCAAAGGACAGGCCCTGAGCCACGTACAGTATCAGGAGGACGATGGTTTCCCCGAAAGAAGACTGCAGATACTTACAAAAGGCAATTAGAGCAAATGTTCCTTAACTTCGAGGTCCTGCATGATACAACCCCGCCTCTCACCCCACTGCTACTCTGCCACCCGAGGCCCTGCATGATATATCTCTGCCCCTCACTGCCCCCATTATGTTCGGCTACTCTGCTATCTGCTCCCTTGACTCCAGCCACAATGGCCGTCTTGACTAGGCGGGTCTTGCTCCCACCTCAGGGCCTCTGTGCTTGCCGCGCTGCCTGCTGCCTGCCTAGAACACCAATCCGTCTGCCTCTGTCTAATCTCGTTCTCTGTTCACTGTTGTAAATAAAAAAGTCTATGTATGGTGCTGGGGCTCCAGTATGGGAATACAGGGATGGCGTAAGTGCTCGCCACACCTGAGCAACAGCTCCAGACCTCTGTTGGCTTTCTTTAAAGTATGTGTCAGCAGGTGAAGTTAGCCACATCTTGACTGCCACCGCCATCTCCATCAGAGGGGTTCGCAGGACAAAAGTAGACCTGTGCTTTACGGCATCCCCAGACCAGATGAATGCAAATACGCAGAAAGACTTTTGATAAGTAAATGGGGCAAGGGATGCGTGGTGAGAGCAGGGCTTATTCTGAGGTGAGCAGGGAAGGCTTCCGGTAGAAAGTGACATCTGTCTAGGCTAGTTAGCTAGGCTTCAGGAGTAGAGCTACAGAGACAAGGGGAGTAGCTGCACAACCACTCAGGGTGCTGGGCCAGGGCCCTGACGCCCTGACAAAAGGATGAAGAGGTGAGAAAGAGTCCCCAGGTCTGCCCTTCAGCATAGAATCTGCTAGACTCTCACGGACAGAGCTCCTGGATAAATGGCAAGTGGAGGGCAATGCGTTGCTGCATTGTGCCACCTTGTGGTCAGAGCCTTGAGGTGCAGCACACGAGCCCACAGCCGGCTCTAAGTCGGGCTGTGGCAGATCTTGCCCTTCACCAAGCAGGCAGATGATACTCTACTGCTGCAAGTTGATCCTTGGGTAAAATCACTTCCTGGGATAACGTGTCTTGTGGAAAGTTTGGGCACCCATCATAACAGCACGTATGGGGCATTCTATAGTCTGGTGACAATTCATTTAGTCCTCACAGTACCAGTGCCCCCCATGTCACACAGAGGAAGGTGATGCCTGGGAAGCTGACATCGAGGTGGCAGGACGAGGAAATGGTGGGTGGAATTCAGGCCAGGCAGTCGGCTTTGTATCCACACTTTCTGCAATGCCGCACCGAGAGTGACAGAACCAGGCCTGGGGAGCGACATGGAAGGATGGATCGGCAATTGAGGCACCCTGGAACAAGTCCCTGAACATCTCCCAGGGGGCTGGAGCCAGAGGAGCTGCTGAGAAAGTCAGAATAACTCCAAAGCTGGGGATGGTGCGTGATACGGCCTGGAACCTCCAAAGCACCTTGGGGCAGGGTGCCAGAAATGTCACTGTGCCAGGTTTACTCTGCCAGCCCTGTGCAGGGGAGTCTTGTATTGGACCCGAGCGCGGTTGTGTCTCAGTCTTGTTTTCCATTTATGGTTCTGAGCCTCAGTCTGGCTCGAAAAGGTCAGTACATCCCCCACCAGGGAGGGCACTCACTCACCAGGCTGCTGACAGCGGAGGACCTGGTGGGGCAACGCTGCAGCCATCCCCATCTGCCTTCCCCAGCCTTCCCAGCACCAGGAGTCAGGGGACTGTCCCAGAGTTCCCCAGTCTTCATCTGAAGTCCCCCCTACCCACAGAGACTGTTAGCTTAGCTGAGTCTCTAATCCAATTGAAACCCAAACAACTGAAAACAGATGCTGGATTAGCTGACTACCAGAGGAAGCTGGCGAGGCTGCCCTCAGACGCAAGACTGGGTACATTGGCCCACCTATGCCTTTTGTACTTTCCCGTCCAGTACAGACGGGACTGGCCTCTGGGAAGACGTGAAAGCTCTGCCCTGGGCCTCCGAGACCAGGGTATGAACTTCTGGGCTTCCTTGGAATTCTCACACCACGGTCCCCCGAGGCCCACAGCAGCCATGCCATGAGATAAGTTGTTATGTATGTGTACCAGAGAAGATCTCATGGGCTACCACCAGCTCTGACCCCAGTGTGGAAGGCTTCCTGGAAGAACGGGGCAGGCTGGTTCACAAATGACTCCACACAGAGGCATTTCTTCAGAGAAATCCAAGTCCCTCCTGGCAGATGGCTGTACAGGGCAGACATTTACCACATTCTCCATTAGCGACAGCTCCCTTCACCCTAGGAAAGCACAGTGCCCTTCCGTCTGTGGCTAGCCTTCCCCTTTGGGCCAGGGGCAGTGTACTCTGAGAAAGGGCAGCTCTGTGGTGACCGGGGCCTCAATCCCAGGGCCTGGGCTCAGAAGCCAGCTCCACCTACTATCCTGGGGTACTACCAAGCTCCACTGATGTCAAGGCCACTGGACCCTTCTGTAGAGACAGGGACAACACTCTGCCCTGAGCCCGAGGGGCCTCTGTGAGGTATGGCTGAGGAGCAAGAGGAGGCAGAACACATTTCGTGCTCTTTTCTGTGACACCATCTCACACAGTCTTTCAGAATGTGCTGTTTGCCCTACAAGGGGACTATCCTAAGAGGCCTGAATTTTGGGGGAATGAAAAAAAAATGAGGCATGGTTTTCTGCTTGGCTGGTAGGGAAGGCTGGCACACTCTACCCCGTCTAAGCAACCCGAGGACCCTGTCATTCTCAGGAGCTTGGGGCACAGGCCAAGGAAAGGCAGGAATCAGGCTTACCTGAGGGTCATGGACCTGAGAAGCACCCCGCCTTCCTGGAAACAGCCACCATGCAAATCCACAGCCCAGGGTCAGTCCCAAGCCTGTGATTCATGGCGATTCCTGCAGACTAAGTGCTGGGCTGATCAATGGATGACTGTGACAATCATATTACTTGCCAACCAGGCTAGTGATGAATGAAAATACAAGCCTGGGCATGGGGGAGGGGCGAAGGAGACCCTTCAGCTCTTCCTGAAGTCTCAGGACCTGCTTCATTACCAGCACCTCAGAATATAAAGAAGTTTGTGAGGCCGCTGCATGTTAACGACCTGTGAGTACCCTCCTCAAGTCTTGTGGGGCAGGTGGTTTTCTTATTCTAGACTGAGGACTTCTGAAGTCAGGGGAGCCCTTGTCTCTTTCGCTGGCATGTGTCCATGGCCCAGTGGGGTCAAGGGATGGGAGACAGAATCCTGTTACTGTGGCTTCCCAGAGACTCTACCTTTCGTCTGCCTGCCTTCAGGGTCAGGATCTTTCCTTCTCTCCTTTCTCCATTCCTTTTCTTTCTTAGAGACAGGGTCTTGGTTTCTATGTATCTCAGGTCAGCCTGGAACTCAGGATCGCCCTGCCTCACCCTCCCTAGAGCGGTGATGCCGGCTGTGCCACTTCATGCCGATGCTCAGGACTTTCCTTTGTCCCTAGATGTTCCAGCATCCTCTCTGCTTCCGCAGCTGCCTGCCAGCAACCACAATTCCATTTACACATCTGCTCCTTGGCTTTGGGCCAGTCATCCTATGGTCTATAAAAGCACCCTCCCTTCAAAGCAGACAGGCAGAGCTGGAGGGGGAAATGCTTGAAGGATCCTACCTTGGACAGTGACCCTGGCGCTGCAGGACACCTGCCCCAAGGCGTTCTCAGCCAGGCAGGTGTAGGTGCCACGGTCCTCTGGCAGGGCATCCTGGATGTGGAGCTCGGCCATGCCAGCCTCACAGACGGAGTGAGCAAACTTGATGGGCTGCCCTGCAGAGGGAAGCACAGAAGGGCTCAGGCCAGGGAGCACCTGGTGGTGGGACACCAGCCCTGACCCCAGCAGAGCGACTGCCACGGCACTGGAGCTGGCTCAAATCCATGGAGGATAAGACCGGGCCTGGGAAGACTGGGTAGAGTCACTCTGGAAGAATTTGGCATGCAGGAGGGCCATGACAGACAGCTGGCATTTTGGGATAACCTCCATTCCATACACCTGGAAAGAATTCTGCAGGGCCTTTTGGTCCACAGCCCAGACTCAGGCAGAGTAGACCTCACTCGGTCTGAACATGTGGTCCCCAGTTCTTTTGAAATGTCTCCAGAAATAGTGATTCCATTTCCCATTAGAGATATTGATCAGAGAGCAATGCTGCAGCCCCACCCTAATGTTGCAATATGTTCATTTCCTCTGCGCAATAAACTACACTTTAGCATTCAAGGAAAAAATAAACATGGAGAATGAGAATGAATGGATCTAGAAGAAACCCTCTTTATATGCAGTCCTATGTGGCAACGGGTTGTAAGTGGTTAGCATCGGCGCCATCCTTACTGCTGCATGCTCTAAAACTCCATCATTCCATAATGGAAGCTTTATTTCTAGGGCCGTAGTTTGTCTTACTACTGAATAGTCTGGCCTCTGGCAGGAATGCGTTCATCTGCTATACCAGCAGCAACGGTCACTTCTTTCTCTTACCTCCCCCAGTCCTAGTTTGTACTTCGTAAAACCAAGGGTGGGGAGGGAGGGGTGGCAGGCAGTTTTGGGAGAAACAGCCCTCCCCACAGAGCAATGTTTTCTTCTGCACATAACAACACTTAATGTCTTCAGGACAGCTTTGCAAAGAGACTGCTGAGCAAGAGGGAGGGATGAGAACTTTCCCAATCCACTACACTCCAGGAAAGTAGGACTGAGAGGGGTGAACAGAGGGAAGCCCGGGGGCCAGAGATCGCCATTGAAAGGACTGAAAACCCTTTGCTTTTCTTTTTGTAACAATGACACCCCTAGAAACAGACAAGATCGCCTGACAAAACTGGGAGCATGGGGGTGGGGGGATAGGGAGGGTGGAAGGGGAAGATGGGGTGGAGGAGGGGGGCGAGGAGAACTTGAGAGAGTGGGATAGTCGAAATGGAAGAAAGACAGAGATGAGAGCAAGGAAAGAGATATTTTGATTGAGGGAGCCATTATGGGGCTAGCAAGAAATTTGGCACTAGAGAAATTCCCAGGAATCCACAAGGATGAACCCAGCTAAGATCCTAAGCAATAGTGGAGAGGGTGCCTGAAACTGGCCTCGCCCTGTAGTCAGACTGACGATTATCTCAAATATCACCATAGAACCCTCATCCAGCAACTGATGGAAACAGAGGCAAAGACCTGCATCAGAGCACTGGACTGAGCTCCCAAAGTCCAGTTGAAGAGTGGAAGGAGCAAGAATATGAGCAAAGAGACCAACACCATGATTGGGACACCCACTGAAACAGTTTACCTGAGCTAATAGGAGCTCACCAACACCAGTCGGACGGGGAACGAACAGCATAGGACCAAACTAGTCTCTCTGAATATGGTTGACAGTTGCATGGCTGGCCCAGACTGCAGGGATACTGGCAGTGGCACCAGGATTTTATCCGAATGCTTGTACTTGCTTTTTGGAATCTATTCTCTTTGGATGGATACCTTGCTCAGTCTAGATATAGTACGGAGGGCCTTGGACCTTCCCCAAAGCAATGTGCCTTATCCTCTCTGAGAAATGGATGGGGGACGGGAGGGTAGGAGGAGGGGATGGGAGGAGAAGAGAGAGTGGGAACTGGGATTGGTATGTAAAATTAAAAGAGATAGTTTGTTTTCTTAAAAAAATAGCTTGAGTATAAAAAAAAAGCAATATTGATACCCCTAGAATCTGAGATTACCAGCATGCTCCCTGACTGTCCTCAGACTGTCTCCTCTGTCCCAACATTTGTGACAAGCACGGTAAGAGCTTGTCTTTTTACTGATGTAGGATTCCTGACTCCTTTGGGTCCCACAAACAGGGATGGAGCCCTAGAAAGAAGCTGCTGGCTCAGAATACATCATGACTGAGAACTAAGAAACTCCCAACTTGGAGGGCTGGTTGGACTAGTTAGCAGCCAAGGAAGGTGAATTTAAGCACGATTGCCCTCTAGTGGGAAAAGGGTGGAAAGTTAAGATGTACCCTGTGTTCAATCCGCACTACTAATAGCAGACAAACTGAACCCATGCTCCAAATCCCACCTGCAACCTGATATATCTAATATAATAATTAATGTGTTATATTAATTATTTAAAATAGAACACAATTACTACAATTTTATTATAATATATTGCATTGACAGATACAATAGTATATAGTAGTATATATTAATTATAATGTGTACTTATGTATATTATATATTAATTCTTTGAGAATTTCATACAATGTACTTTGGCCATAGTCTCCCCAGATCCTCCCCCCCACGCCTACCAGATCCACTCCCACCCCAACCTACAACTTTGTGTCCTTTTTGTTTTGTTTTGTTTGACTAACCCATCGAGTCCAATCTTTGCTGTTCATATATTCTTGGGTACAGAGCATGTGCAGGTCTTATGTAGGCAACCACGGATGTTGAGAGTTCAAGAGTGGAGTGATCCTGTCAGGTCCAGAGACACTGTTCCAGCAACCCTCCCCTACTTCTGCAGTCTTTCTGTCCCATCTTCTGAGGTGGTCCCGGAGTCACAGCACTAATAGAATATAAATGTTCCTCCCATGTGTGGCTGAGGATTCCAAATGCATCATTTGCTGCATGTTGACCAGAGAAGAGTTTCTGTCAACCACTGTGCACTGCTCTAAAACTTCACACTGACCTATGTGACTCAGTTTTATACAGCTGGTAAACCAAGAACACTATTTAAGTATGTGGTGTGTGTGTGTTTAAATAAAAAAGAATAAAATTTCATGACACGGGGAAATCGTATGAGCTTCTTATTTCAGCGCCCACGAATCACGTGCACACTGTCTGCTGCTTTTATGCTGCAGCATGGAGTTGAACAGCTGCTGTAGAGGAGTGTCCTGAAAACCTGAAAGGACTTACAGACTGCCTCTCTGGAGGAAATGCTCCTTGACCCTTTCTTAGCTCTGCCCCATCAAAGCCAAACTCTCAGTCAGACACATGTTTAGTCCTTATGCTACGCTCTAGGTGATAGTAAGCTGGGTCCTTGCAGTCAGTCCCAGGGCCCCTTGGGATCTGCCCATGGGTGAGGGGTAGGAGAAAGGATGGACCTCAGTTCTCATCCATGTACCTAAGCTAACTGCATGGAGGGAGAGTACATGGCTCCTCTCACCTCACTCAAAGGTCATTTCTGCCACAGCCTGAGGGAACTAGAGTGGCATGGAGACTCACAGGCAATGGGTCAGGACAGTGTAACACCTGGGGACTATTTAGTAACAAGCGATAGATGCCTCCTCTTAAGAAACCTGGGCTAAATGATGTGCGAACTGGGTAAGATTATAAGCTCTCTGCCCCCATCCCTGAAAATCAGGTTACCTGACTACTCTGTGTTGTAAATAGTCCCCTCTCAGCAGGTCCCTGGGTTTCTCCCGTGCAGCCTTTGCCCAGTTATGCCCATTGAACAGACTGTCTTCAGTTAGAACCAGTCTCCCACACTCGTAAAATTAAAAAGCCCTCAAAGGAAGAGACAAATAAAGAAAGATATTTGGTAATTATTTTTTTCAAAGAGCATTTCTTGTGCCAGGTATGGTGGCACACACCTTTAATCTCAGCACATAGAAGCAGAGGAAGACAGACCTCTGTGAGTTCAGGGCCAGTCTGTTCTGCACAGTAAGTTCCAGGACAGCTAGGGCTACATAGAGAGACCCTGTCTTGAAAACAAAACCAAACAAAAGTCAAATAGCCCTTCTTAGTTATGGAATTATAATTATCATCTTAAAGAATTGCTAGTTTTCATCCCAGATCCACCTACCACCCAACAGAAGGTCAAATTCTTTGGCCAAATTCTGATGTAGTTTACCGGGTTATTCATTTGCGTGTTCATTTATTGACTCAACGAATGCTTGTGGATGATCTCTTAGGAGACTAATCACAAGAAAAGAAATCAAAATTGCATGTGTATCTCTGGGCAGGCATCTCATTACCCACTTGTATATGTGAACTTAGTGAATCTGTAACAACCACCTTACCAGGTTGGCAGCAGTATTCCCTAAGAGGAGCAGATGATCTAGGTCAGCTAGTAAGCAGCAGACCCAGTTCCCACAGCTTCTCCTTCTGTGCTTCTGAGGCACACGTAGTCCAGAACAAGAAGCTAGAACTCAAGTCAGGAGGTCATTGGAGCTGGAGCAGGGAGAACTCACCATTGAGCAGCCAAGTGATCCGGGGTACTGGGGTCCCGCGTACAGAGCACCGCAGCACAAAATCCTGGCCCTCAACGACAACACTGTCCTTCAGGACACTGGAGAATGAAGGGGCCACCTGTGCCAAGTCTGACCCTGTGAAGGCAAACAACAGAAGGATCCTCTCAGACATAGCTCATCCACCTGCTGGTTGACCAGATATCCCAAGCCTGGTAAAGCAGACACCTAATTGTCTTGGGCCCTGGGCTTCCTCAACAGCTGGCTATGCCTCGCCTGCCTCCATGCTTGGGGAGGAAAAGCATCAGACATCTGCAGTCCACTCAATACAGCTGACAGGGGGTCTTCCAAGGTTACAAAGCTCCCTAGTGCTAGGACATACACACAGAGGGTCCTGCCTTCCATCCTTGTAACACAGGTCTCTCCCATTTACTTTTGACCGTTGCTATTCTGAGCATCCTGGGAGTGCCTTCTCTCATCTTTCTGTATTCTAAGTTCTCTTCTTTATACATGCCACCATCAATCCCATGGTCTTATTTCAAATTAATACCTGATTTGTAGAAACTATAGACACTTAGTGGGGTATTTCCATTTGAAATTATTTTAATTAATCATTCCCCCATTTTCAGGGCTAAATCAAATGGCAAAGATTCATATGTATTTTCCAAGTGTGGCTTGGGCCCTGTTCTAGGTCAAAGGTCCAAAATGACTGAGGGCAATGTTGTACATACACTGATAGATGAACTTTCTGCTCTCAGAGAACTGCCTGTGTATCTTTCAAAGTTCAAAGCCTTTTACACTGTAGATTGAGAAACACTTTAAAACTTGAGGACATTAGTGAAGAGCAACAGGGACAGATGATGGCTTCTAAACCTTGGGTATTGTATAGCAGAGTCACAGGCAACTCTGATTTCACAACCACACTTTCTAGACTTTAGTGTAAGAGGTGCATGAACAGACACAAGACAGCAGTGGTGCTTTTGCTCTGGCCTGACATGGAGGAAGGAACCACTGGCCCAAGGGCTGTAGGAACGCACCATCCACACCTTCTCTGAGTCACCATCAGACTCCCTCACTACAGAGATGCTGTTCAGAGTCACTGACAAGATTGTGTTCCTACCTTCTCTTCCCCCCATCCCCCTGGGGTCACAAGATCTCCCCAGAGCTGCTCTCTTGCACTGTGGGCTCAGCTCGGCAGGGGCAGTTCCTGTGCTTTGAGAGCCTGCCTGAGCACAGGCAGGCCCTGTGTCAGCTCAGCCACATTCCTGGCCAGCAAGAGACAGTGAACATCTAGCAGACATCCTTTGGAGAAGGGGTGAGTTTGCTCCTGGCCCGAGGGCTTCGGCTAGGAGGAATTCAGACTTTCCCCGCCCCCCTCGACTTTCTGGTCACCCTGCAGTGGTGGCTCCACCCTGTGGAGCTCTCCCGAATCCCATCCCAGCCTTCATCCAGGCACACCTTCCTCTCTTCCCCCCTTCCCCCTGGGGTCACAAGATCTCCCCAGAGCAGCTCCCTTGCGCGCTGGGCCTGGGCTGTGAGTGCAACCTGGCAGGAGGAAGTCCCTGTGTTTCAATAGACTGCCTGAGGAAAGGTGGGCATTCTGTCAGTGAAGTCCCTGCCCAACAAGGGAACCTGACCTGGTACCAGAAGATCCAATATAGAGCATTTGAAGGAAGAGATGGACAGATGCCAAGGCAAGAACTCCTCCAACAATCTAAAAAACAACATGAAATCACCAGATCTCAACGACCCTACAATAGAAGGACCTGAACCTCTTAATTCAGAAGAAGTGGGAAAAAGTGCCATTATGAAAGCAATAGAGTCCCTTAAACAGGATATGAATAACTCCCTTAAAGAACTGGATGAGAAATACAACAAAAAGATTGAAGAAATGAGTAAAGAAATGGATGAGAAGTATAACAAAATGTTCGAAGAAATGAGTAAATCCGTGAATGATACATTGGGAAACCAAGAAAAATCAATCAAACAGGTAATGGAAACAGTTCAAGAAGTGAAAACTGAAATGGAGGCAATGAAGAAAACACAAAACAAGGGCCGGCTGGATATGGAAAATCTAGGTAAACGAACAGAGACTACAGAAACAAGCATAACCAATAGGATACAAGAGATGGAAGAACGAATCTCAGAGGCTGAAGATACCATAGAGAAAATAAATGCTCTGATCAAAGAAAACAGCAAATCCAACAAATTGTCATCACAAAACATTCAAGAAATCTGGGACACACTAAAAAAACCAAATCTAAGAATAATAGGGACTGAAGAAGGAGAAGAACTGCAGATCAAAGGCCCAGAAAATATATTCAACAAAATTATAGAAGAAAACTTTCCCAACCTAAAGAATGATATTCTTATGAAGGTTCAAGAAGCATACAGAACACCGAATAGACTTGAGCAAAAAAAAAAACAACAACATCCCCTCGCCATATAATAATCAAAACACAAAACATACAGATTAAAGAAAGAATATTAAGAGCTGCAAAGGAAAAAGGTCAAGTAACTTATAAAGGTAAACCTATCAGACTTACACCGGACTTCTCTATGGAAACCATGAAAGCCAAAAGGTCCTGGATAGAGGTACTGCAGAAACTAAGAGACCATGGATGCAAACCCAGAATACTATACCCAGCCAAGCTATCATTCACTGTCAATGGAGAAAACAAAATATTCCAGGATAAGAACAAATTTAAACAATTCGTAGCCAAAAACCCAGCCTTACAAAAAGTAATAGAAGGAAAATCACAACCCAAGGAATCCAACATTACCAACACTGCCTACAATAACTCAGACATCTAGCGACCCTTAACGAGCTTAACTCAAAGAAGGGACACATACAAACTCTATTAAAAAAACAAACAAAAATTAATAATAACCGGAGTCAACAACCACAGGTCATTAATATCACTTAATATCAACGGACTCAACTCACCTATAAAAAGGCACAGACTTAGAGATTGGATACGAAAACAGGATCCAACATGCTGCTGTTTACAAGAAACACACCTCAACCACAAAGACAGACATCTACTCAGAGTAAAGGGTTGGGAAAAGGTTTTTCAAGCAAACGGACCTAAGAAACAAGCAGGTGTGGCCATTCTAATTTCTAACAAAATTGACTTCAAACGAAAATCAATCAGAAGAGATGGAGATGGACATTTTATACTCATAACAGGAACAATTCATCAGGAGGAAGTCTCAATCCTGAATATCTATGCCCCTAATATAAAAGCACCCACTTATGTAAAAGAAACACTTCTAGAACTCAAGGCAGTCATCAAACCACAGACACTAATAGTAGGAGACTTCAACACTCCTCTCTCACCAATGGACAGGTCAATCAGACAGAAACCTAACAGAGAAATAAGAGAATTATTGGAGGTATAGAATCAAATGGACTTAACAGACATCTATAGAACATTCCACCCAAATAGGAAAGAATATACCTTCTTCTCTGCAGTGCATGGAACCTTCTCGAAAATTGACCACATACTCGGTAACAAAGCAAACTTTCACAGATACAAAAAAATATGGACAGAGATAGAGACAGAGACCCACATTGGAGCACCGGACTGAGCCCCCCAAGGTCCAAATGAGGAGCAGGAGGATGAAGAAAATGAAAAAGGAAATAAGGACTGCGAGGGATGCGATCACCCACTGATACAAGGGGACGGATCTAATGAGAGTTTACCAAGGCCAGTTGGACTGGAACTGAACGAGGACGCGATCCAACCAGATTCTCTGAATGTGGCCGGATTTTCTGAATGTGGCTGGCCCGGAGTCTTTCTGAAAAGCCATTGACAATGACACTGGGACTTGTTTCCTCTGCATATACTGAATTTTTCGGATCCAGTCTGTCTGGACACTCACCTTCCTGGACCTGGAGGGAGGAGGGAGGAACTTGAACTTCCCACAGGGCAGGAAACCCTGACTGCTCTTAGGGATGGAGAGGGAGGAGGAGAGGGAGTGGGGGGAGTGGGAGGGTGTTGGGAGGAGGGGCGGAAATGGAAACTTTTATAATTTAATACAATTACTTTAAAAAAAAAAGATTGTGTTCCTAGCTGACTTGAATTAGAAACACAGTATCTTTGATAAGGCAAGCAATGCAAGGATGGCGTTTGGCACAAGCCTTGCCTGCAGAACATTCACAGAGAGCATTTGCCACTTTTGTCAAATGGAAGTTGTGTGTAGAAACTCTGCTTGGAGGAAGTAGAATTTAGTGTGAAAGAGTAGAGGGGTACAGGAAGAGCTCCCAAGAAGAGAGTAACCAAGAAGGATGAGGGAAGAGGAAAGACGGGAGCACGGGGGGGGGGGGGCACGGAGTCATCCCTGCTGGCTAAGTTCTCCACGGAGGATGGAAGGGGTTGAAGAGATGTGTGAGTAAAGGAAAGAGCCTTTCTGCAGTTAGAGGAAGGAGAAAAGAGAGGGCTGGTGAGGATGCTAAATCACATGCACAGTACAGACTGCGTCTTGGTAAAGTATTTGCCAAGAATGAATGGGACATTTGTAGTCTGGAGAGGTTGCAAGATTAGTGGACATCTTAAGAAGAGAGGGGACTGCAATGCACTCCTAGAAGGGCAGAGAAAAACAAAAACAAAAAACCAACGTCTGTAATCTACTCCATTAAAGCAGAGAGAATGTCATCACAGAGATTCTAGGTTAAGCTTTCCAGAACTCTGGATATTAACCAAGGCGTGAGAAACCCAAACCGCATCTCTCTGAGCTCAGCTGCATCTTGGGAAGGACAGCAGGCTCTGTGGTCTTTGAACTCTCATTCCCTTCATCCCAGCTCTTGGCAGCTTTGAAAACCAGAAGCAACTATGGAACTTGTGAAAATGAACTGTTTGGCAGGGGTTGGGGGGGGGTCAGAGCTCCCGAGAACCACAGCCCCAAGAGAATCATCATCCCTGCCTGGTTCCAGCAGCTCCTTTGGCTCCACCTCCAGCACTGTCTGCTTTGACCTGACTCAGAGCTTGGTCTATGCGAACCACTTTATCCCCAAGGTATATGTGAAAAAGCAATTATTTAACATCACTGCTACTGAGGCAGCAATATCAGCTGGGGCTAGTAAGAGTCTGACCAATAAAAACTTACGAGGGAAAACTGGGAAGAGGTCCACGGCT